TGCCTACCGTACCCAAGAAATATCAGGCTGGATAGAACAGAAGATCCTTAGGGATAAGATGTGTCTGCTCTATGTATGTAAATGTGTTTTTTTCAGGTGTCTGTAGTACACCATGCATGCAAAAGTCTAAATGAGTCTGGACCAGGGGCAGACTGACCATTCGGGGACTCAGGCACTGCCCGAGGGCCCAGGGTCAGTAGGAGGCCCCATGAGATGCCCCTGGTACCTTTTGTATGCTTTTTTGGGTGTGATTTGAGTGTGGGTGAGGACACAGGGGCCCCATGATTCCCTATTGCCCATGAGTTGTAAGTCCGTCCCTGGTCTGGACCCCATGGGTTTGTTACAACCCCATCTACCAGGTTCATTCAAGCGTCAGAACTTGGATAGGAACTCTTTCGTAGACCCAGAAACCATTATTCTGGCTCATCATTGTTACTCGGAAAACACTCTCTTCTTACTCATGAGGGGCCCCTCTTCAACCAGTAGGTTGTGCAGCTTCCCCAACCTCCTCACCTTGTGCCCTCCCCTTGTCCTTGTGCACCCTCCCATCTCGTGGAGCTTACCCATGCCCCAATTTGTTCCTCCACCCCCTTTGCCCTCCCCCCCACCTTGTGCAGAGCTTTGACCTCCTGGCTGTGGTGCTGACCCTCCTCCAGACACTGGTAGCAAACGGGGGTGCAGGCAGCACGGTACAAAATCAGAAGCAGAGCCGAAGTCAGGAGCAGAGCCGAAGTCAGGAACAGAGCCGAAGTCAGGAGCAGAGCAAGAGCCGAAGTCAGGAACCGGTATCAATCAGGAGAGGAATCAGAGTCAGCTCAGGAACAAGCCAGGTCAGTAGCAAGGGAATCACACAGGAACAAGCAGGACACGGGGGGAGCTGAAAACCAGTCAGCACTCAACATGGGCAGAGATACCCTTTAAATAGTGCGTCTGGCACCAATCTTCACCGTGCGTGTGCACGTGCGCGATCGTGCATTTCCATGCGCATGCGCACAACCGATCACTCTTCTCCGGACGTTTCTATGTGCATGCGCATATCTATTCCGCAATTCGTCACACCAGAAATCCCTTACAACTCCACTGGAACCTTTCGCTACCGCTACCAATGTCCCTGTCAGATGGGGAAACTGTCCCTAACCTGTACACTCACATAAAGTGCACCAAACCCAGGGGCATCAGTCTTAAATAGACTCTGCCTGACCTAAAATGGCCACCAGGGTCATGTGGGGGCATGTGCGGCATGTGCATCCAACTTGACCACTGCCCTAGTGACCAAGAAAATAATAGAGGAACAAAGATTCTCTAAGCCTTCCTCTCCCATCTGCAATGCAGCTACAGACGAGCACCATCTGCAATGGAGAAAATAGACTGCAATTGCCTACATGTGCACCACCTTTTACTCCTCCCATGGCCCATGTACAGTTGTGTCCAAAATTATTCAACCCCCAATGCTGGTAAAGGGGTTTAGGGACTATAGTGTACATTTGGAATTGTATTCAGAATCAAATCCTACAAGGACGTTGTAACTACCCAAATGCAACTAAAATGACATCAATTGTTTATGTAATACAGTAGTAAATGGTTCTTATGTGGTTTCTTCATTGCCACAATTATTCAACCCCTTAAAGACTACCACTCTGAAGAACAGAGGTTCATACAGGTGCTTTCCATCAGGTATTGAAAACACCTGTGGATGTCACCCTGCAGCAATCAAGCATAATAAGCACCAATTAGGCAGCTTTAAAATGACTCTGATACTCAGCTCCCTTCTAGACATTTCTGGTGTGGTTACAAACATGGTGAAGGCAAGAGAATGGTCCAGGAAGACAAGAGAAGAGGTGATTTCTCTTCACAGGAAGGGCAATGGCTATAAGAAGATTGCAAAGTGTTTAAACATACCAAGAGACACCTTAGGAAGCATCATTCGCAAATTCAAGGCAAAGGGCACTGTTGAAACGCTACCTGGTCGTGGCAGAAAGAAGATGCTGACTTCGACTGCTGTGCGCTACCTGAAGCGTAGAGTGGAGAGAAGTCCCCGTGTGACTGCTGAGGAACTGAGAAAAGATTTGTCAGATGTGGGTACAGAAGTTTCAGCCCAGACAATAAGACGCACACTGCGTAATGAAGGCCTCCGTGCCAGAACTCCCAGGCGTACCCCCTTGCTGTCTCCAAAGAATAAGAAGAGTCGACTGCAGTATGCCAAAAGCCATGTGGACAAACCACAAAGTTGTGGGATAGTGTTCTGTGGACTGATGAAACAAAATTAGAAAGTTTGGGCCCATGGATCAACGCTATGTTTGGAGGAGGAAGAACAAGGCCTATGATGAAAAGAACACCCTTGCCTACTGTGAAGCATGGTGGAGGGTCAATCATGCTTTGGGGCTGTTTTGCTTCTGCAGGTACAGGGAAGCTTCAGCGTGTGCAAGGTACCATGAATTCTCTTCAGTACCAGGAGATATTGGATGGAAACGTGATGCAGTCCGTCACACACCTGAGGCTTGGGAGAACGTTGGACCTTTCAACAGGACAATGATCCCAAGCATACCTCCAAGTCCACTAGAGCATGGTTGCAGAGGAAAGGCTGGAACATTTTGGAGTGGCCATCGCAGTCACCAGACTTAAATCGATTGAGAACCTCTGGTGGGACTTAAAGAAAGCAGTTGCAGTGCGCAAGCCTAAGAAATGTGACTGAACTGGAGGCCTTTGCCCATGAAGAATGGGCGAAGATACCCTAGTAGATCGCTGCAAGACACTTGTGTCAAGCTATGCTTCACGTTTAAAAAAAGCTGTTATAACTGTAAAAGGATGCTGTACTAAGTACTAAGATTGAATGTCACTTGGGGGTTGAATAAAACTGATAACTGCTGTGAGCACAGAAAAGACATTTGTGGTTATTTCATTATAACTGTTATGTTATATTTGTCTGACCTACAAGTGCCTCTTTAATGTAAATGTAAGCAAGATGACTGAATGATCAAAACTGCAATGTCAAATGGCCAAAACACTCAATTTCAGTGGGGGTTGAATAATTTTGGACACAACTGTATATATGCTGAAAGGGTGAGATGAAGGTACCTGTCCTCCTCCTAGCAGCTGCAGAGCAGACACTATCTTAAAGGGCCATGCAGGTTGTGCACTCTCTACGGGGACTATTGATCCTCTAATACAAAAAACTACCTGGAATGCTAGACCACACAAAAACTTGAGTTGGGTTAGATCCTCCTATGTCCCCCTACTCAACAATCAGCTCAGTCATCCCCTGACACCCCAAAGGCCCATCCTGCTTGTCCCTCTGTTCCTTCTCTGCTTCTTTTCCTTTTCTTTTTATTGAGCTTGCATCTCCAAGTACTGCCCACCTGTTTTTGGCCCTCTCTCTACCTGTTTTACTGAGAGACCTATTATTAATTAAGCTACAAACCCATAACAGGCCAAACAGACATTTTCTTCTGCCCTTTGTCTACCTTACCCTTCTTCTGGGGTGGTGACGTTAGCACCAGAAGGAGTCTCTCAAGTCTACAATAAAACTGGCCAAGCTATCCAGGGAAAAGTAGCTTTGATGCCCACCAACTTGAAAGGGTGGGAGGACCAGGGGTCGGTCGTCTCAGTATCCTAGAGATGTATTTCTTTTTTGAGCAATTTAGCTGAAACTTTTTCCTACAACTGTAAATTTGTAACATTTAATGAAAAAAAAATATTGAAACAGAATAGGTGCATTATGATGACTTTTGCATATTTGTTTACCGATTGTTCTGGATGACTGAGAATTCTCAGTATATCATGGAGTCACTCCAGAGGTGAAGGTGAAAAGTTAAACACATAAGAAGAGGGGTAATTAGTCTTCAGTCACATATGGCACTTCTTGTAATGTGGGAAACAGATGGAAAGTGTTATTGGTCCATCGGCACGTGTCGGCACGCTCAGTAGCACATTAACAGCCGTCGCGGTTCAAGGTATCTTCGTGTGTGTTGTATCTTATCACTTTTACATACAAGCTACTCTACTGTGAGCTACGGAGTGTGTGTATACATTTACTATATATATATATATAATATATATATACATATATATATGTAGTATATATAATTAATTTATTTTAATTAGTTCACTGAATTTTTAATGTCTAGGCATTGTGTGCAAATATTACCATATTCCCTTTTTTGTTTCTCCTACTGTTCCCAAGGATCTCGGCTACTGACCACAATGGTCCTGCTGGTTGATATATGCTCCCCCATAGCCAATGATAAAGTAAGCTTCAAAGAGGGGTCCTTAACAAAAACATGGTATCTCAATAGATTTGCATGTCCCAAGCTTGCAATTTCCCCGCCAGTATACACGCCTACACTCCTAATTTAAAGAGGAACTTCCACCTCCCAATGAAAATCCAACTTTCCCCAACCACCTCTCAATGAAAACCCAACTTTCACCTCCCAATGAAAACCCAACTTCACCTCAATGAAAACCCAACTTTCACCACCTCCCAATGAAACCCTTCTTCCACCTGCCAATGAAAACCCAACTTTTTTTCACGTCCCCAATGAAAAATGAAAACCCAACTTTCACCTCCCAACGAAAACACAAATTCCACCTCCCAACGAAAAAACAACTTTTCACCTCCCAATGAAAACCCAACTTTCACCTCCCAATCAAAACCAACTTTCACCTCCCACTTGAAAACCCAACTTTCACCTCCCAATGAAAACCCAACTTTCACCTCCCAATGAAAACCCAACTTGAAAACCCAACTTTCTCCAATGAAAACCCAAACTTCCACCTCCCAATGAAACCCATCTTCCACCTCCCAATGAAAACCCAACTTTCACCTCCCAATGAAACCCATGAAAGCTTCCACCTCCCAATGAAAACCCAACTTCCACCTCCCAATGTCTAGGCATGCGTGGAAATATGACCATATCCCCTTTTTTGTTTCTCCTACTGTTTCCAGGAATCTCAGCTAGTAGCCAGAATGGCCTTGCTAGTTGAGGCATCCTCCCTCATAGCCAATGATAAAGGATTATGTAAGCTTCAAAGAGGAGTCCTTAACAAAAACATCTCCGGGTGTCTCTCTAGATCGGGGCGGACTGACAACTCATGGGGCCCCCGGGCAATAGGGGATCATGAGGTCCTTGCCCAAACTCAAAAAAGCCTATGAAAAAGGTACCAGGGGCATCTCCTGGGGCCCCCTACTGGCCCTGGGCCCTCGGGTGGTGCCCGAGTTTCCAAATGGTCTATCCGCCCCTGCTCTAGATATGCATGTTCCCAGCTTGTGATTCCCTGCCAGGATGAATATACACTCCTAATTTAAAGAGAAACTTCCACCTCCAAATAAAAAAACCTAACTTCTACCTCCAATGTAAACCAAACATTCAGCCCCCCCAGTGAAAACCCCACTTTCACCTCCCAATGAAAACCCAACTTTCACTTCCCAGTAAAAACCCAACTTCCAACTCCCAATGCAAACCTATCTTGCACCTCCCAACGAAAACCCAACTTTTACCTCCCAATGAAAACCAATGAAAACCCAACTTCAACCTCCCAATGAAAACCCAATGTCATATACCCATTTCTCTTTATGTCATGCAGTGTCCTCCTCTCTGGCACCACTCACCTACTTTATTTCCCATCATCATCTTCCTCTTGTATGTCATATAAAGCTATCTGTCTCTTCTCGGTTCTTGCAATGAGCCCCCCCCCCCCCCCCCCCGTGACATTGCACCCGATTTCGCATATAAGCAGGATTCTATGAATGGTGGAATTGTAATGTCTACTGGAACATCAGTTTCTAAGGAGGCTACAGGAGAAGAGTTAAGCACCATTCTCACCCAGAGAAGTATCAAAGCAGGATGGAAAAGAAGAAAAAAAATATATGAATGGAAACCAATAATTAAAAAAAAATTGTCTTTACCATATTGTGGAGGATTAGAATGGTGTGAAGTGTATATTTTGCTGGAAAAGAAAACAAAATGCTACAAGGGCTACCCACCAATATATGAATAGATACAATATACATATACAATGTATAAAAAGCTGACATCAGCGTCTTGTAGAGTCCTTCCTCTTTTCCTTTGGAGACCGCAATGGGCAATCCCTTCTGTACAGTGCAGAGCTTATATACTGATCAGGGGCGGACTGACCATTTGGAAACTCGGCCACTGCCCGAGGGCCCGGGGTCAGTAGGGGGCCCCATGAGATGCCCCTGGTACCTTTTTCATAGGCTTTTTTGAGTTTGGGCAAGGACACAGGGGCCCCATGATCCCCTATTGCCCGGGGGCTCCATGAGTTGTCAGTCCACCCCTGATACTGATGCAAGAGTTCCAGAAAGATCAGTGCCATGATGAACCCCAGGATGTGTGTTCACATTGACCTGGGCTCACAGGAAATGGGTTGGATGACACTGGCCATTCTTTAACCTGAAAGAAGACCGATGCTGGATCAGAGATTGGGGAGTTTGCAGGGCGCATCACTGGAGCTCCTCTCCAACACTGTCCCCTGAAGACTCGTCGCTTCCCAAGTATTGTAGTGAAAGCGGTAGCTTTTTCTAATGTAAAGGATGGAACTCAGCGAGCGCTTACAGATAGAGCAGCTTGTACACTAAAAAGGAAACCATAAGGTTTTTAATAATTAATAGGTAATTTTTTTTCTTTTGATTAAAAAATGCCGAGCAGTTAAAAAATAGAAAAAGCTACCTGTATGTAAATCACGTAGTGCAGCACTAAAATTATAGGAGACCCTAAAATCAAGCAAATAAAAAGTCAATAGATATAAAGATAGATGCCTGAGGCTACAAGTTCATGATACAGTTGCCAGTAAAGCCCTTAAATCATAAATATAGGTAAATAAATTAAAATGAAAAAATACGTAAGTATTTGATGTCCAGTCAAAACAAGCATTAAAATGGATAAATAAATAAATTAATGTTCAATATAGGCGCAAGAAAATTATTCTGGAGAGGTGACTCAGATAATCCCAGTGAAATTATAGTGAAATGATAATTCCAGGACAGAGGGGACCTCTGGTTTACTGATGTTAATGCGCATATAAATTGCACCTCTGGTGAGTGTGCAATTTTACCATTTTCCTGCACGTCACCGGATCATATGCTTCACTGAGATTATCTGAGTCACTTATCCAGAATTATTTTCTTCCACCTATATTAAACATTCATTTATAATATCCATAATAATATAGGTGCAAGAAAATTATTCTGGACCAATGATGAAGGAGTTTTTGTTCAAGGGGTGTAAAGTCAACTGACCACCAATAAGGAGGGATTGCTGTTGGAGGTTTAAAGTACCCCTGACCACCAATGATGGACGGTTTGTTGGGGGGTTTAAAATGGCACAGATGACCATGCAGTGCAATTTGAGCCCATTAAAAATGAATGACCTCACATCACACTGCAATGAATCGCATGTGAATCGCACAGGACTGTGTAGCGAGTTCCTGCAGGATTCATAGTGTGAATTGGGGGATAAAAGATGTCTAAGATAACCAACCAGAATGCTGTACATTGCAATATAACACGTTGCGTGCCGTATGGTTGTCGTTAGGGATTCCTCAGGATGGTGTTGTTCTTCGGCCAGACAGCAGTAATGAAAATGTGGACTTTTGCCTTTTATGAGCGTAGTATGGAGGATCTCACACTGTTCTGCTGATAGATTTACGGCCTGCTGTGCTTAGCACACCATGTGTAAGGTAAATTAAGCGGCCACCCAGCGGGGAGCCTGCAGGTGAAATGATGACCCATGACAAGGGGAGCAGATGCCGGGACGTCCTCCAAGGAGGCCTGAGCCTGCAGGTGCATCACTCAGGGGATCAAAGAGTCCCATAATTCACATCCTAGACCAGGGAGGGGAGGAGGAGACGGGTTACTAATTGTATCTAGAAAACATCCACTGAGATCTATTATATATTTCTTCTTCCTTCCTTCTTGATTCTCCTTCCACCTTCATCTAGATTTATCTCCTTCCAACCTTCAGATCACTTTTGCTAACTTTGTATCTTCATCCAGATCACTGGTCTCCAAACTGCATGCCCTGTGGCCAGATACGGCCTTTGCTTGCCTGTATCCGAACCTTAAGGCACTATTCCTCCCACTGACACCAACGATGGGACATTATTCCTCCCACTGATACCAATGATGGGGCAATATTCCTCCCACTGATACCTATTCGATGGGGCAATATTCCTCCCACTGATACCAACGATGGGGCTCTATTCCTCCCACTGACACCAATGATGGGGCACTGACACCAATGATGGGGCCTCCCACTGACACCAATGATGGGGCACTATTCCTCCCACTGACACCAATGATGGGGGGGCATTATTCCTCCCACTGACACCAATGATGAGGCATTATTCCTCTCACTGATGGGGCACTATTCCTCCCACCAACAATGGGGCATTATTCCTCCCACTGATACCAATGACACCAATGATGGGACACTATTCCTCCCACGGATACCAAATGATGGGCACACTAACACCAACAATGGGGCATTCCTCCCACTGACACACTATGATACCAATGATGGGACACTATTCCTCCCACTGACACCAATGATGTGGCACTAATGATGGGGGGCACTATTCCTCCCACTGATACCAATGATGGGGCACTATTCCTCCCACTGATACCAATGATGGGGCACAATTCCTCCCACTGATACCAATGATGGGACACTATTCCTCCCACTGACACCAATGATGGGGCACTATTCCTCCCACTGTCACCAATGGTGACGATAGTCTGAAGAACAGTAAACAGTCCTTTTCTTTAGAAAGTCAGGAGACCCCTGATATACAGTCAGGTCCATAAATATTGGGACATCGACACAATTCTAACATTTTTGTCTCTATACACCACCACAATGGATTTGAAATGAAATGAACAAGATGTGCTTTAACTGCAGACTGACAGCTTTAATTTGAGGGTATTTACATCCAAATCAGGTGAACGGTGTAGGAATTACAACAGTTTGCATATGTGCCTCCTACTTGTTAAGGGACCAAAAGTAATGGGACAGTTGGCTTCTCAGCTGTTCCAAGGCCAGGTGTGTGTTATTCCCTCATTATCCCAATTACAATGAGCAGATAAAAGGTCCAGAGTTCATTTCAAGTGTGCTATTTGCATTTGGAATCTGTTGCTGTCAACTCTCAAGATGAGATCCAAAGAGTTGTCACTATCAGTGAAGCCATCATTAGGCTGAAAAAACAAAACAAACCCATCAGAGAGATAGCAAAAACATTAGGCGTGGCCAAAACAACTGTTTGGAACATTCTTAAAAAGAAGGAACGCACCGGTGAGCTGAGCAACACCAAAAGACCCGGAAGACCACGGAAAACAACTGTGGTGGATGAGCAAAGAATTCTTTCCCTGGTGAAGAAAACACCCTTCACAACAGTTGGCCAGATCAAGAACACTCTCCAGGAGGTAGGTGTATGTGTGTCAAAGTCACCAATCAAGAGAAGACTTCACCAGAGTGAATACAGAGGGTTCACCACAAGATGGAAACCATTGGTGAGCCTCAAAAACAGGAAGGCCAGATTAGAGTTTGCCAAACGACATGTAAAAAAGCCTTCACAGTTCTGGAACAACATCCTATGGACAGATGAGACCGACATCAACTTGTACCAGAGTGATGGGAAGAGAAGAGTATGGAGAAGGAAAGGAACTGCTCATGATCCTCAGCATACCACCTCATCAGTGAAGCATGGTGGTGGTAGTGTCATGGCGTGGGCATGTATGGCTGCCAATAGAACTGGTTCTCTTGTATTTATTGATGATGTGACTGCTGACAAAAGCAGCCGGATGAATTCTGAAGTGTTTCGGGAATATTATCGGCTCATATTCAGCCAAATGCTTCACAACTCATTGGACGCTTCACAGTGCAGATGGACAATGACCCAAAGCAGACTGCAAAAACACCAAAGAGTTTAAGGGAAAGAAGTGGAATGTTCTGCAATGGCCAAGTCAATGACCTGACCTGAATCTGATTGAGCATTTCACTTGCTG